TGCAAGTGGTTAGGATCTAGCTTGGATACTCAGACCTTTAAAGCCCATAACTCAGCTTCATTAATCCCACAAAAGTGCATATAAGACCACAAAGTAGCTCCATTTGAATCTCACAAGAGGCCACCATAGCCCGCTACTTGCTCCTCCAATCTAACACTGCATCAAATGTTAGCCAAACCCAACTTTCGTGGTGATTTCCAAAAACTTGTTCGAACATGTTCGCCTTCTTTTGAAGAAGAGGATCTCCTTAATATGAGTAAAGAGAATTTATTTGAGGATAGTCCGGAAAAGAGGTAGAACCTATGTGCAAATTGTGATAGCGTGAAAAACCTAAGCGACATCTCTCATTTTGCCCTCAAAAGTTACTAGGTTCCTTTCTTTCCAGAAGACTGCTTTTAGTGGGATCCTCCATATAATTAATCCAGTAGCCATGAAATTATGGGTCCAAATCTGTTCTAGCCTTTGGTCTATGCAGCTGGGTTGAATCCAAATCCACCCAGATAAACCACATACCCATCTTAATTGTACTCTCTATACACTTGAAAAGACAATGTCTCGAGATTGTATAGGCACCATCTAATTTTCAGATGGTGAGATCCAAGCATTTGAAAAATCAATTTCATTTGTTTTTTTTAGAATAATCATATAAGAATGGTAAGTGGTTCCCAAAGTTTCATAATGAAAAAATCCTCCCAAGTGAGTCCTTTGACTGAGGGAGTAGAAGTAAACTATGCCGTTGAGGGAGCATAGTATACATGCCCATATATAAATTAATGTTCTACGATGTTTTATATATTGACAACGACCCCATCGGACTCGGTGGGTAGGAACGATCGATCCAGGTATGTAACTTAGACCTAGTTGGGCAGGGTCAACGAACCCATCGGACGCGGTGGGTAGAAACGATCGATCCAGGTATGTAACTTAGACCTAGTTGGGCAGCGTCCATTCCGGACCCTACCCAACCCATCCCTAACCTAGCGTGTTGGACCCGGCCCTACCCATCCCCAACCTTGCCTTAGGACCTTAGATACCGAAAGAGAACTCTCAACATAACACTCAAAAAGGTAAAGCCATAAGGGGATACGACAAATCAACAAAAAAGTTCACGCTCCAGACCAATTTTGTGGCAAATGCCTGTGCAAGATAGATTTGAATTCCTTCTCAATAACTCTCGACACCTTAGTTTTGTTTTTATCGATTTATGTAATTTTAATTTTCACATAAATTTGTCCAATCTCCCAAAATCTCTCTCTCGAACTCAAAAAACATTTACAGCCATGTACTGATAAAGATGATCCACTACGCACTCACTCAAAAGCGTTTTTGATAACATGAAGTTAGGGATGAAGTTAGGGGAGGAAGGCAACTCCCGCGTTTGATAAACATAACTTATACAGTAAAGAAGTTCCGCCCAGAACTTCCTAATAAAGAAGTTCCCCGGTACTTCCTAACTCCCTTGTGCTTAAGAAAAAAATTCCATCTATAACAATGGCACTTAAAATATGAACTTTGACCTCGAAGAGGACTTCCTCCTCAAACCTTCTTATGCCTCCCTCCTTATATTTATATAATAGATATTTACAACATTATATATAGTACAAACATATATTAATAATATAAATATAAAATACATTATGTTATATATTATATTATATTATCTTATATATATGTTATATATTTATATTTGTCTTATAAATATATATTTGTATTATATAACATATATTTATGTAATATCCCAACAGGTTGTCAAACACAAGTACCTAGAACCTCTTTTAACATTCTAACAAGTTATGACACCCAAACTTCCCAGCAAAGAAGAATTTCCGATTTCAAGGGAATGTTTAGCTTCCAGTTATCAAATGGGTCCTAAGAGGAGCCAATCACAAAAAGAGGACCCAATGCCCCCAGCTCCAAGATAAGCACAATCTTAACACTCATTAATACAATATGTTCCTTTACCTTCAATTCTAGGCGTTGCGGTCTCGGTAATGTGATGCAGCAAATTTATCTTCTCTTTCTGCCTCTGCAAGCTCCTTAATAGCAACTCAAATTCAGAAAGAGAACCATCATTATAACAATTCAATCCATTAAGGCATCCAAGCATCGTCCCAAACTCTGCCATTTCATTGTTATATGCCATTTCCCAAGCTTCTAACCTTCTGTTTCTGAGAGATTCACTCCTATAAAAAGCCTCCATTAATTCTAAGTTGTTTTTCATTTCATCAGAAGCCAATGAAGAGAGCTCTGCGAGGTTTTTCCTTTGTTCGAGTTCCTCCTCAGCCATCTTCAGATCCTCTTGTACTCTAGCTAACGTCTCCTTTAAAGATAGAACTCGATTTCTTGTGGCTTTATATGTGTTCATATCAGTGTTTGCAGTGTCTTGAGTTTGCATAACTCTGGTGAGAAGTTCCCTCAGGTCTGATTCTCCCACTTCAAAATCCGGGTGCTGCTGAATTTCTGCACAAATGATCAAGATAATGCTTATTGGTGATGGCATGGTTAGAAATTTCAGATTCAAGTGGATTTGAGAGAAAATTCAAGCAAATTTCCTTCACTTAGGTACCTCCTCAACTATTTGTCAAAAATATCAACCTGCCCTATTCAAGATTAGAACCCAGAACAACCAGGGGCATTTAGTAACTTGGTCCAACTTAACTGACCTAGACCAAGTGAAAAACTACCGCAGCTTGTTTAGGGTACCAAACTCCGAACGTGTTTGCATTGCAAGATCTTGTATCAGGCTCCTAAACTTGAACGTACTTTTGTCATTTAGCACAACTTTCTAACCCCCACTTGTTGAGTAGTAGAAACATGGAACACATTTTCTTTCATTTGAAAAATCTTGCTCCCAGTTCTTAACCCTGAAAAGGACGAGGCAGTTTCCTCATTTGGCTTAGGTGACCCGAGCCAAATTATGAGTCTATACCCCTACGTATACAGGGCTAGGAACACTGAACAAGAGATTTAAAAAAAAAGCATGTTCGGGATCTAAAATCCCAAACCAGAGAGGTAGTCTTGTCATTAGCACAGGCCAATTAAGTTGGGTCAAAATACTATAGTGCCCTTGCTTGTTCCAGATTCCAAATCTTGAACAAGGTAAGTTCAGGCATATCTAATGAAGATAATTGAAGAGGTACCTGAAGGAACTTTATAAAGTAAGCACTTTAGAGTTGACATGCTTATTTTAACTGCCAAAGTGATTTTTTTAGATGGTTTCACCATTTTAATAATATTTTTCCAAATTGAGACACAAGATTTCTTTTCTTTTTAATTATGCATTTTCAGCCTCATTTCACATCACCGAATAACATTGTTCTCCTGCAGCATAATATTCCTTGTAAAGTTGTTATAATAAGTGAGTAAAAGAATGAGACAGAATCAAGTAATTTCTTTTAAATTTCATGCATGGTGCCTCAAGAGAGAGCAAGGGATGGGGATAGAGGCATTTTAATCATCACTGTCCATTGAATTATGTACAAGGTTGTGCAATATAAGAGATTATTGAACTGTGCTGCATGTGAACTAACTTATAGCAACACTTTTTCTTTTTTTCTGAGTAATGCAACATACAAACCACTAATCTTGTGGAATAGAAGAATATGGTAAAGGATCCTCCCACAAAGCCTTTTTTTGAGGGGTTCTCAGATGGCATAATTTGAAACATGGGTACATAAAAAAAAGAATAATTCTAAGAACCATCATCCATCCTCAACCTAAAATGATTAAAAGAAAAACAAAAAACACCAAAGATAATGCACAAAAGAAGTGGGTCACCATGGATATAGGGGTTACCTTTACAGCTTTTCAACATCTTGTTAAGCTTACAATCTTCCAAGACATGACCTAACCGCTGCTGCAAAGTGGACAAAGGAGTATGCTTACGCGAATGATAGATGTCCAAAACCTCCTTCTGCAACTTCCTAAACCTCTTTCTCTGAGTACCATCCATTACTGCTCTAGCTGACTTAAGATGCATCCTAAACATGCCCGTATCTTTAGAGTTGAAAGCGTCATTTAGTCTCTGACCCCAAAACAAGTCTAAATCATACCTAACACAGCATATTGGGCAGTAGAACTCCCCATCTATGCCGCATTCCTTCACAACCCCGCCGAATCTTCCCTTCTTGATGCATTTTAAATGAAAAATATGATTGCACGAGCATAGCAGATAGAGCCATGTTTTTCTTGGAAAAATTGGAGACTGACAGATGAAGCACATGCAACCTTTACAAAATGGCTCCTTCGTGGTAGTGTGAAAACTTGCACTATGTGATGCTTGTCCTGATGTGGTTTCTCTCTCATCACAAGCACGTTTTTCTTGCTGATCAAACCATTCAATTTTTTTCTCATCAAGCGTTGGTGTAGTGACATTCAAATCAAGACAGTTTATAATATGTTCTCTACCAGTTTCTACCCTGTGATCAGCAAACTCAAGTGTAGAAGATGAAGCCCCAGGTCCATGTATAACCATGGGGCATGGCTCATTGAGGGGGGAAATTTCAGCATTACCATCATTGTTTTGATCGTATTTGAAATGATAGTCTACTCGTATGGATTCTATTGCCTTGCGCACATGCTTCCGAATGACTAAAGAAACTCTGTGCTCCTCAGAAAGGCACCAGAACCTCTTGTTTTTGCACCGCCATTTTGTGCAGAGTTTTATTAGCTCCTTTCTTCCTAGAGCCAGAGGAACATCCTCATTTCTCAATAGAAAAACCAGAGCCTTTAAGATGTTTTCTGGACATTTCTTAACCATTTCTTTTGTTAGTGACTTCAATAGAAACCCACGAATTTCTTCGATTCTGATGTTCGCATTACCACAACTTGCCTTCTGAAGAAAACCTGCATCACCCATCAACCCTCTCAAAAATTCTAATACCCCATTGATTTGGATCTGCTTATCTCCACTGAGGCTATCAACAACTTGACATGGTTCAGGCCCAATTTTTCGCTTGTTTGAAAGTGAATGTCGTAAATGTTCGTCTACATTAGATTCCAACGAATGATCCTTTGACAAAATAAAAGCAGCATGCAATAGTCACCAGCATCAGCATTCTAAATCCGAATACAATCTAACATATCAAAACACCCAATTTCAAGTGTCAATGCATCCTTATTGCAGTGTTCATAGAATTGGACCACACTAGTCATTCTTTCTATATCTCTCATACTCTTGTCAATTGTACATAATCGATCTCATTCATAAATGATTGATCATCCATCATTGATTCTAATGAGTTAAACTAACTGTTTAATGCGTTAGAAAAACCACACGCTTATGTTGATGACTTGATGTTCTTAAGGATCTATAGAAACAATCAAACCCATTTTCCAGGTGAACCAAATCTCCTAATCAAAATACTTATTTTCTATCTTTTGAAAGTTCACAATTATTACTTTACTGATTCGTTTTAGCATCTAATCAAACATGGTATAACCACCTCTAATCAAAAAAGGAGGTTGAGAAACTAATATAGAAAAGTCGTAAAATCTAGGCAACTCACGAAGAGAGGGCCCGAATCACCCAACCCTAGGATATAGAGCAGGGATACAAATAAAACCTACATAAAAGGACGGGGATATGCAAAACTAAAGTGCTCTTACAATGATGCACTTCGAATTTTATAGTTAGTTTTTATTCTAAACGAACAAATTCCATACAATTTATGCTTAAGTTCTAAGCAGTAGGAAAGGGTACCCAGTTCCAAGCCCACAATTCGCGGAAACGAACAGCTAACCCGTAGACACTAAATTCCAAGCAAAAGAAAGACGAAGAAGAAGAAATCTAAACCACCGTGATGAGATCCAGCGTGGAACATCCAATCCCAGGATAAATCACCCAAACGAAGAAGCTGAAATCCAAGCAATGGAAACAGTAGATAAAATATGGGGAAAAAAACAGTGGTGCATTTTGTCATCTCAGCATATATAAATAACGTTTTTCTTGTAAACCAAATAAACTACATGAAAAATGAAACATTAAAGCCATAATCATCAGATCAATGGAGCCATTGAAGCGCATGATAGGTATGATGGAGGCATAAACATATTGTGAAGGAACAAAGCTCACCAGATTTTGCATCATCGTTTCAGAAGTCAACTATTAAACAGATCGCCAGGGGAATGAAAAATCCCTGAAAACAAAAGGAATCAGAAAGCGACTGCATGGGAATCGAATCGAGGCAGATAAAGTAATGGACATTTGATCATTAAATATTAGAAAGAGAGCACTAAATAAATGGGCGGGAAGAGGGGGTTACAGAACATGAGAGAGAGAGAGAGAGAACAAGAGAAGGAAAGCGGATCATGGAATAGGACTTTTTGGTGGACGCGTGGCACTGTTACAGTGGGCATCTATTTCAAAACAAATGCGGATTTCTCACACGTCGAGGCGAAATTTCGGATTTGAAATATTCTGTCTTTAAAAATTTCCAATTGGGATTAAAATGAACCCAATGCGAATCAGTTTTCAGAGAACCGGTCCTGTTCCCTCTAAATATCAAGAACTTTTAAGAACCACAAGGTTCCCTTACTACCAACATGCATTCGCCCGTAAACACAACAATTTGCCTATTCCATGTAATTTTGTTTTTTTGTTATAAATCTTATTTGTTATTTTAAAATTTATTTACAAGAGGCCCCATATTTTTCATGTAAATTTTTTATGGGAAAGCTCCCGTTACGACATAGAAGTTCTCTTTGATCAAAAATAAAATATTTTGAGACGTCGGATCTAAAATCAAATGGTGAGTAGCTCTTTTGATAAAAAATAGACGGCTGGATGGTAGGGGGAACATAGAATGCTTTCTCATTTCTTATTTATTATAAATATTTATATTTACTTTTTAAATTTTTATTGCTTAGTGGTTGTGGGGCCATCCACATGAAAATATGAGCCTATGTTATCATCAACATAGCCTTTTGTTAACTAAATGGGGTCGGCTATATGAATCTTGATCCGTTATTTTTTTCTATTATGGGTCATACTCTCAGTGAGGTAAGACTCTCAATATCTTTTCTTACAACTTCCAACCATGTCCTTTTGCCTATAAGCTTTATTCTTTTTTAGCCTTCTATTTAAACTAACTCGTGAAGGGTGTTGCATTGGGTCTGTGTTACATATAGCCGGCCCACCTAAATTAACTTTTTCTCATTTTGCCACCGATTATTGCAACACCTAAATTCTCCCAAATGTACTCATTTCAAAAATAAAAAACTAGAGTTTAAAAGAATTTTAGTAATTTTTTTAATATTTTTTTAAGACAAGATCCAACTGATTCAGTTATCTAGATCACCGATATGACAATCCAAATTAGTTTTCTAGATGGCCGATCTAAGTTGTAGAACCATGTTTTCAAACATTACATTTGAGCAATATTTTCATTCAAATTTAGTGCTAATCCTTCAGATAAATATTTGGACAGATGAGATTACAAAAGCATTATTACTCCCCTAAGGCAAAGGGAAAATTGTTTGATGTGGGCTAGACCACATTTCTACAATATGCGACCCACAGGTATAAGCCATCTATCTTAGAGATGGACGCAAATAGGTGGTCCATTTAAAAACAATGATAACCAACTGTCCAAATATTTTTTAAATACAATTATTATCTTTAATTTTTTATTTTTTTCATATTCATGATCTCCATTTTAAAGATTATATATTCTTTAAAAATTAAGATTAAATTATATTTAAAATATATATTTATTACCAAGCCCGCATTTCTACACTATCGGGCTCCTCATAGAAACGGTCTCCCAAGGCAAAATATCTACTTAACGACGATTGTTTTGTTAGGAACCAAAATATCTACTTAACGACGATTGTTTTGTTAGGAACCAAAGATTGGACATGACAATAAAAATCAAAAACTGAAAACTGTTACGTGCTTACGGGTGGACGCTTATACAAAGCAAAACCTTATATGGGGACTTTTTAGCAATGTTATCGAAATCGTTTTGCTTTGGGGAGGCCGAGATCTTCCGATTTTTGGCTTACATCGAAGCGAAGCGAAGCTCAGCTCCGGTGCATCAGCTTCATGCTGCTTCGGCTCGTTTTGATTGATTCGAACTCTTCGTCTAAAGCACAAAATCGTCTCTTTTAAATACAATTTTGTACTTCAATTAGCTTTGGTCTGATTCAGAATTTTTGACTGAAGCCCATAGTTGTCTTTTTTTTAATTTTAATGTTTTAATATTTTAATATATTTTATATATAAATATGTATTTTATTTATATATATTTAAAAAAAAATTCTGAAGTCCTCCAAATCACACCAAAACCCCACATTGTTTCGTTCTTTCCACCAAACTGAAAAAAGCTTCGAAGTGAATCTAACAATATTGCTTTTTAGACCTCACTATATTTAAGTGTTAAAATCATTATCCTATTTCTAAAATCAATCAATCAAAATTGATCCTCATGATTTCAGGTCAAACAAATCCCACTAAACCGTTAAATTTTTGGGAAAATTGTTAAACCCCTCAAGATGAACGTTTTACCCGCTTTATACCCCACCCAACTTTTTCGAACAACTCCTCCCCAAAAAATGATGTTTTCTAGCTAATACCCTTACACAAAAAGTTTACTTATTTTGGATGAAAATACCCTTTCTTCATGTAACAAATTATTTTCGTTAGAGAGGGCAGTCCGGCAGGCATTTTGAACAACCGGTCTGGATATTTTCTTTTTACTAGGACGTTTCATGGTGGCGGTCCGGAGATTATTTTTTTTCTGAATTGGGAGGTTTGGCATTTGGAAGTTACTGTCCGACATTTTCAACTTGTAGTCCGGCATTTTGAAAGGGCAGTCTGTCGTTTTGATATGGCAGTCCGGAATTTTGTAGGGGCAGTCCGACGTTTTGAAGTACGCCAGACTTAGCAGTCTGGCGATGTACAAATGCGGTTTGACGTTTCTTTTTATTGGGATCGAAAAATGATTTGTCATGTGAAGGGATGGTATTTTCATCAAAAAAGATGTAACCTTTTGAGTTGGGGGTATTAGTTATAAAAGATAGTTTTTGAGAAAAATAAGTAAAATATTTAGAATGTAGGTAGAGTGTCTAAAAAGTATATTTTTGAGAGATTTTAACAACTTTCTTTAAAAAAATTTCATCACACGTATCTCAGCAAGCACGAGGGAGTCGAGCGTAGTTTTTGCTCATGAAACAATATGCTTTAAGCTCCCATATCTCAATGCATGCATTTTGAAATATGCTACTTCTCTTGAACAACAATCCTAGGCCATCATATTTTCACAACGAAATCCTCTGGTTTCCAACCATAGCTCCACTTGAAGGTACTTACGTTATCATATTCTTACAACATAATCTTCCGGTTTCAACTATAGCTCCACTTGAAAGGATTTACGTTGAAAATTTGAATTGGTCAGTTGGGTTCATATTAGTGATTTAAAAAACACTAGGTCCACACGGAATTGTTTGGTCCAATTTGAGAATCAGTGTTCATGCTAGTGATTTAAAAAATGCTAAGTCGGCACGGAATTGTTTGGTCCAATTTGGGCATCAATCACCCATTATGATATTGTGTATGTGTAGGAAAATGAGCAGGTCTCGAAAGGAACCGACGGTTCCACACAATAAAACAGCGATACGAACTGCCGATTCACCAATCCGGCTTTTTGACCGGTTCATTATTTTTTAATGTGTTTTTTCGCTAGTTCACTGTTTTTTCCACACGGTACAACAGCGATTCAGACCACTGATACACCGTTCCAGATTGGTCATTGCTGTGTCCGATCCAGGTCACCGATCTATTTTTTAAATCATACTTCATACCCATTTCAAATAAACAAGTGCCCTTAATCCACAGTTAGTGGGGAATCAGATACCTCGTTTTTTGCCAACTCTATAATACAAAATTAACCATATGGTATGGATTGCGCAGCAACCCCTGCGAAGAAATCCATCTAAACAGTAACATTTGTAACCAAAGACGTGTTGCTAAAATCCAGCTCAAGCTTAATTCTAAAGAAAACTGCCTGAACTCTGCGGTCTCAAAAATGACAAGAGAAGGACCTAAAAACCAAGGAATTGGATTCCCTGACGCTTAATGAGCATGTAATTACAAGTTACATATTCAGAATTTAAAATTGACCCAATTTTCAGGATCATCAAAAAGAAAGTGCAGAAATCGAAATAATCATTCCAGTGTAGCTATTGTACATGTACACTATACATCCAAGTGAAACTGGTAATGATGCACAACCCACCTTCTCTTTATCTCCAGCTTCCATTAGATCATGGTCTCATTAGTTGGTTAGCAACGGTACGCTCTGGTCTGAATATCTTTCTATAATGCTTGGTTTTCTTGGGTTCAAAAGCCACTAACTGATCATCAAGTTTTAATGCATCAAGCGAGAGATTCTCTTTAATGAAGGAATCTAGATCAAAATCATCGCCAATTTTGGATACTCTTTCATCACGTCCTCTAGAGCCATCAACCAGGTTTAAAGGAGGGCTACTCTTTCCCATGGCATCACTATTTCTCATTTCAATGAGTTTCTTGACATCTTCCAGGCTTCTTGGAGAGGGGTTTGGAACAAATTTCAATAGCCTCTTTATGCTGGCCAGTGCTGGGTCGATAATGCCAAGGAAACCCATGACCCATGAGGCGTCATCAACAACTTCAGTTCGCTGCAACAAATAGGGATTTCATGAGTTGATGTCATGCAAAATCACTTTGTGATTCATTCTTACAGTATATGCATGATTAGATAGCACAAGAATACACAAATTTCAGAGTCTTGAGAGAGGAAATGGAGTATTTGTTCTACTGGGAAACAATCCAGCCCGGTGATTCAAGAAATTCAGCAACCAGAAGTCCATTTTTTGCAGAGAATTTTCACAAAAAGAGATGATATTCTTCCTCTAAGCATAGTTCAATTTCCACCTTGCACAAATCAATGTGGTTATATACAAGAACAATCTCTAGGGAAAAAATATATGTAAAAGAACAATCCTCCAATAATTTGAGAGATTAATACAAGGGTTTATAAACTTTAGTCAGAATTTTTTTTTTTTCTTTAAATGGTAGATTCTGTTTTAACTATTGCAAAAATCAAGATAGTTAAGGTGCAAAGCACATAAATGCAGCAAGCTACCAATGAATTTCAAAAACTAGACCGTGTACAGTAACGATGATGTTACCTGTTGGAAATAGAGGTTTCGGATTTCCTCAGCCCTCACAGCATTCCCTTGCTGTTCCTCCAATGACGCCCATGTCATCCACGTAACATAACTTTGAGAATTTATGTTTAGAGATGATCTAAATAGCCTCCTAGCAGCAGATAGATTACCATTCCTCTGTTCTAAAACACCCCATGCCTACAATAAATAATGGGCAAATCAATCCACAAGTTTCTTCAACAAGAAAACAATATTTCACGCCTTCACATGATAATTTCATTTGAAAAGTAGAAAAGGAAACAAATATTCACAACAAGGATTAGATGTGCATGCCCCAAGTTTATTTGACTCCTTAGGTCTTTTAACAAGATAATGAACTTTTGTGTCATTCAAGTGAAACTTCCATTCAAAGGTCAAAAAATAAAACAAAGATGCAATGCAACAATACAAGAGCAGATAGGCACAACTCATAGTATCTATTTCTATTTCTTTTTCTTTTTTATTGTATAAGCCCAGTTTAGGCATTGAATCTAAGATGCTCTTGTCGTTCAAAAAGGTTGTTATGGTTTTAGAGATACATAGGAAAATTCTTCCAAGGCATATTTTATAGAGTTACTAGGCCTTTTGGCTGTTTTTAAAGCTATGAGTAGCTCCTTTTATTTGCTTCATATTCTTGTTTGGCTGCCCAATTCAACTTAACTGAAACTCCTACCACTCTTGCTGCTACTATTACACCTACAGCCATTGCTGCTAGAGTGACAAAAAGCTGCCGCCTCCATAACACACTCCAATTTGTGCTATTTTAAGTCCACTATCAATAGAAACTCCATCCAATTTGTTATCAGAAGCTTGGTTTAGTCCTTGGGGTTCTGGAACAATGTTCGCTGATACAGCCACTGCAATAACATAATAGATTTCCTCTCGATTCAGGGGTTTTGAACAACGATCCTGTATTCACTTACAGATCCATTTTTTTGCAAAATTCCATTGAGCTCAGCACCTTCACTGATTTCGTTGTCTTCTGATTCCAGGGTTTTCAAACTCTTTCCCTCGTTATTTCAAACTTCCATTGTTACACTCTCAATGGAGAGAGAGAGAGAGAGAGAGAGAGAGAGAGAGGAGGAGGGAGGGAGGGAGGAGAGGAAGGTAAGGTGGTGGTAGGTAGTAGTAGTAGAGTCGGTAGGTGTAGTAATAATTAGTAGTAGTACGAGTAGGTAGGGACGGACGGGAAGGGAGGGGAGGGGGTAGGGGGTAGGGAGGAAGGAAGG